CTATCAGTACTTTTTTACTTAAGTACATAAAAAATGGAGTACTTTTGTACTTTCACTCGAGTAAAATTGAAAAAGGAGTACTTTTACTTTTACTGGAGTAATATTTTATTATATGTATCTGTACTTTTACTCAAGTACTTGATTTGTGTACTTCGTCCACCACTGGTCATTTTGGAAAATAAAATAGATGTCTGAACAATGTCTGGACAAAAACAGCTGAAACAATAAAAGTCAATAGGGTGTAATGGTTTCAATCTACGAAAAGACTCGGAAAGATCTACGTAAAAATTACTCCATACAACTCCAATCCAAGTCTTCTAAAGCAATACAATCACTTTGTAGAAACAGAGTAACATTTAAAAGATTATTCACTCCAATTAATTTAAATCATTGACCACCTAATATGCAAAGCCAATACAATAACAAAGCAAAGTATTATCCAACTAGGTTTTGCATGGCATGTGACAAAGTCGTAATGGCAAATTTTTGATGTTACTGTCTGGTTGTCCCATTTGATTTGCACTTTGTATACATGAGTTGATCATTCAAAGTGATAGCATCGCTTCATGCCCTTTTGGAGCTTGAAACTGTTAGACTCCATTTACTTTCACTGGACAAAAACAGTTGTATATCCTTGTACAGTCCTTTTGGGTTCTGCAAAAGAAAGAAAATCATACAAGTTTGGAATGATAATGATATGTTGCACGTAGGCATGGGCCGGTATGAGATTCTGACGGTATGATAACCTTAGATAAAAATATCACGGTTTCACGGTATTGCGATTACAGCTCTAAAATATGTTATTTTTAAATGTCTGGGTAAAAAAAAATAAATAAAAATACATGCATAAACCTGCAGCTCAAGGTTTTTGGAGACATGCTCGCTTTCTACACATTCATATTTCAGGTACGAGGATGTGTGCACATACACACATAAGGAAAGAGAGAGCGCGAGTGTCACACACACACGCGCGCGGTCTCTCCGTACAACACTCAAACAGTGGCAAAGGTTTTTTTTATTTTTTTTTAAATGCGTGATTTTGAACAGACGTAAACAATGGCTGGAGACTTAAAAGTATAGACGTGATACCAGCTAAATTTAATTATTGTACTAAATCGCAGAAAAGTAGGCTACAGTACGTACTTTAGACTGCTAAAGTTACTTTTAAAAGTAATGCATTACAATATTGCGTTACTCCATAAAAAAGTAACTAATTACGTTACTTAGTTACATTTATGGAAAGTAATGCGTTACTTTTATTTAGTATTTAGTAAGATTACGTAACTCGCGTTACTTGTAATGCTTTACCACCAACACTGCTTGTGTGTGTGGGAAGTTATACCGTTTTCACTCAATATGTGTCATCAACTGATGTCAGTTCGGTCACAGTTTAGTTTGGGTTCCCCCAATATGATTTTGAATTCCTAAAATATGAAAGACCACATTCCAAAGGATTATAATTCGCAAGGAGGTTTGGTGTGTCTCCCAGCACAGTCTCAAGAGCATGGAGGAGATATCGAGAGATGGCCGTTACACAAGGAGAGCTGGAAAAGGCCGCAGAAAGGCAACAACCTAGCAGCAAGCTGGTATCTGATCCTTTGTGCAAGGAGGAACAGGAGGAGCACTACCAGATCCCTCCAAAATGACCTGCAGCAGGCTACTGGTGTGCATGTTGCTGATCAAACTGTCAGAAACCGATTCCATGAGGGTGGCATTAGAGCCCAACGTCCTGTAGTGGGACCTGTGCTCACATTGTGCAACTGAATTGACATTTGCCAGAGAACGCCAGAATTGGCAAGTCCACCATTGGTACCCCACTCTCTTCATGGATGAGAACAGGTTCACACTGGAGATGGAGAAATCCTCGAAGCCATTGTCAGACCTTACGCTGGTGCAGTGGATCCCTGGGTTCCTCATGGTGCATGACAATGCCCAGACTCATGTGGCCATCGTGTGTAGGCAGTTGGATGATGAAGGCATTGATGCCACTGACTGGCCCTCATGTTCCCCAGACCCCAATTGAGAACCTCTGGGAGGTTATGTATCGAAGCATCTGAAGCTGCCAAGTAGCACCACAGACTGTCAAGGAGCTTAATGATGCCCTGATCCAGGTCTGTCAGGAGATCCCCCAAGAAACCAACTGCCATCTCATCAGGACCATGTCTAGATGTTGCTGGGAGTACATACAGGCATGGGGGGGCCAGACACACTACTGATATTTTTGCTTTGATTTTCCGTGCGATTTTGAATCCAGCCCTCAATGGGTTGAGGGTATAAAGAAAAAAAGATTTTCATCCTGAATATTCCGCTCATCAATGTGTGATTTATGTGTTCCCTTAATTATTTTGAGCAGTATATACATGTAGGCATGCTCCTGATGATATGGCGAATGGTGTCCTGGGGGATCTCCTCCCAGACCCAGACCGGGACATCACTGAGCTCTTGGACAGTCTGTGGTGGATGCTCCGATACATAAAATCCCAGAGATTCTCACATGGATTCAGGTCTGAGGAATGCGAGGCCCAGTCAATGGCACCAATGCCTTCATCATTTTGAAACTGCCTACACACTTCAGCCACAAGGCTGGGCATTATTATACACTAAGAGGAACCCAGGGCCCACTGCACCAGCGTAAAGTCTGACAATGGCTCTGAGGATTTCATCCAACAGCAGTGAGGGTACTGTTGACTAACAAATTTTTTACACGGCACCCCTGCTCTCGACAGACGGCACCCCGGTTGGGAAACACTGGACTAACACGTGGAGGTCTGTGTGACCTTCCAAGGATATTCCTCCCCAGACCATCAGTGACCCACAACCAAACCAAAAATTTTATCTAATTAATCACACCCTTTTTCTGTGATTAATCGTGATTAAATCGCACACTTCATGAAATTAAGCATAGACCATTTATCTTGTTTCAAATGTTTATTTTGTCATCATTTGCTATATCCAGCAAAGCAAACCAAAAGATTGAAGGGTGATTCTCAAAAATCTGTATTTTCTGCAAGCTCACTTCGTAGTTCACTGACAAGCTACACAAAATCACGTTCAAAATTGACAATGAATCGCCTGTGATTTTAAACGCGACTATGTTTAGCTTATCAGTGAACTACGGCTCTGTGTAGTAAATGCCGATTTACTGACGAGATGCGCATGAAAATTGCATTCGATTTTTTGCACAGCCCTATAAGGAGCCCATATAAGCACATATGAAAGAAAAAAATGCTAAAAAAATCAGAATTGTATAGTATGTGTACAGTGCAACAGCAAAGAGCTTTTTTACATTTTAGAGAAGTCAAGTTGCGATACCGATTGGACCACATGGAGATGCCAAACACTCCTAAACCAACCGTCTGCTGACTGCATATATCTACTACAGTACACGGATCCATTCAGAATAACTAAACACAGCAACATACAAATGACAAATTAAAACATTATCATGAATGTGTGTAGAAACAACGTGAATGCACGGAAATGTCTGTGCCTGTGCATAAATACAATGTGCGATCAGTGCGTCAAGAGCACTCATACACGCATTAATATAACATAACAGACTCACGCGTGCTTACTGTACGACTCCTGTACGCCACCGCAATGGTTTCCTTTATATTAGGGCTGTTTTGGACGGATTGTTTGAATGCATTTGCTTACTGGATCATTGGACTGAAAAGTCCAATGATTTCCCGGAGTTTAGCGGCTTAAAATGATCTGATCGCAAACAGAGAAGCAAAATTGGGTTAAAGGGTTAGAATAGAAATTGTGCTTCAGTAATTTTGCTTTAATTGCGTTAAATTATTTTGACGCATTAAGGATATATACAGTATATATATATATATATATATATATATATATATACACACACACACACACTGCTCAAAATATACATACACACAAAAACATTGGTTCTTCAGCGGTTCTTTGGGGAGCTATATAGCACCACTCCCATACAAAGAACCCATTAAGCCCCTGTATAGTTATTTAAAGGTTCTCTAACTCTCTTAGTTTAGTTGGGGAAAAGATTTAAAAAACAACATTAAAATACAGTGTATTTCCTGAAGATGCCCCCAAGGCCCCCCATAATGAAATATTCCATGGCCGTACGAGACATTTTTACCTCAGAAAAGCATAAAAGTGATTCAAAACAGCATTTGCCATTGTAGTAAATTCCCATGCTTAGCAAACATATGAGAGTAGAGTAACATATCTAAAATCTAATGAGGAGAATGGGGTTCTCTTATGGTTCAACATAGCACTATTTGACAAAGGTGCTGTATAGCACTTTAAGTGGTTCCCCTGATTACTTATTTGTCTGTCACAATGTAAATATTTCTTATCACCACTTGGGTGCCTTTCTCAGCAAAAGTTAAATAAATTATTCAGCATACATAATAAATTTGATTATTTTTTTTCAATTGACAGCCCTACCCTGTCTGAAGTCTGAGGTGTTTGTCTCACCTGTTTGTTTGATAAGCTCCATACATCCATTAGGAGTACATGGGATAAAACAGTCTCCAAGATCACCACGTGCCAGCTTCCCTGCATTTATACTTGTCAAACTGAAGCAAACAAAGAAACAGACTTTAAAACATTTTCTTTAATAATTTAAACAGGTTTCATTATTGCATGGAGCAGAAATCAATTTGTTGAAAGTCTGTTAAATCAGAATAACATTTAAAGGTGCACTAAGCGATTTCTGAAAATCGCTTTTGACCACAGTGTCAGACCGAGTCCCAAAACACACTCCCAGAAAATCGGCAGTAAGGGGCGTGTCTAGTAATGATAGGGAGAAGAGAGTGCTCAATGATTGCACAGGTCGGATATTAGCAGATCGACTATAGATACAGTAGCAAGAGATGGCAGATTAAAAAAAAGAGGAACATTTCGGAAGAACAAAACATTAAAAAGAAGGGTTACGATCAGGCAAGGGGTACTGTAGGACCTGCGTTAATATTGGAGCAGCTTTTCAGCGATGGAGAGAACTCAAGGAGCGGAAGGGAATCGGATGCCAAGGTTGCTTTGTTTCTTCTTGAAACCTAGTTACGTTGATTTTGCTTTTTCACACAACTTTTCTGTGTTGGCTTTTGCTTGAATATGCTGCGGCCGGCAGGCGCAGTAGATTCCAACAATGTCGGTGCCAGGGTTGTGAACGTACGTGTGGGGCGCAATTATCAAAAATAGGGGCAAGGTCCTGTTGGGGTATGGGCGTGTTTGTATTGGTGCTTTGAAATATCAACATCGTTTGGCAAAAATCGCTTAGTGCACCTTTAATGGCATGTTGTTTAAGAGTGAATAATTTTTTCTGTACCCATCCATATCTTTCTCTGGAGCCACAGTGTTGATAATCCTTTCTGTATTAATAGTGTTGATGGAGTCAAGGGGCAGCTGGACTATGAGCCCATGAACTTTGGAGTCCTCATTGACTTCCATTACACTGCGCATAACCTTCAGAATGTGTAACAGTTAATTATAAATAGCAAAATCTGAAACAGCTGTTAATAACAATCATAAAATACGGATTTACAGAACAGTTAATCACTCCTTCAGGTGAAACTGTCCTACCTCATTTTCAGTTGCAGTCCGTGGAAGCTTCACATGTACTGCATTGATCCCGATCTAAAAATCAAGACAGTAAGTCTCATTAAAGGGGTCATAAGCTGCATTTTATTATTATTTTGTAACGTTCCTTGACGACAAATTACACTTATGTTGGTAAGATTTTCACATTAAAAGCAATTTTTGTAAATTTTAATGTAAATAACTGGGTAATTTATGTATGAGTTAAATACAAGTATGATGCGCTCAGCAAGTGATTCACAGCTCCAGTGATTATAAGGGGAGGGTTCTACATATGTTTTACTTTCTGTATATAATTTGATCATTTTAGAATTCAGTATAAAATGTATCTGCATATGATTATTTATATACACACAGTGATTTTGAGACAATTTTGAGACTGAATATCTGACATAAATACTTTTCTCCAATTCTCACTATTAACTATTTGCTTATTAGCATGCCTATTATTTACATATTGGCTGTTTATTAGTACTTATAAATCACATTCTCCATGACCATATTCTACATGCCTAATCCTACCCAATACCTAAACTTAACAACTACCTAACTAACTATTAATAAGCAGCAAATTAGGAGTTTATTGAGGCAAAAGTTAAAAGACTTTGGAATGTATGAAATGTTCTTCCACAACATCTCAGCAAGAAATACATCTATTTTTATTCCAAATGATCCTGTTGTTGTCCTCTCCGACCACTAGCATGTACCAGTGGGTAGACCGCACCATCGGTGTGTAGATTGTGGCAGTTTGGTTTCAATAAAAGCTGTTTTTAGTTCTTACAGTATGTTTTTATAACACAATGACAGATGAGCAGCTAATCATCTTCCTCTGAGTCACAACGGCGATTGCGGAAGAGAAAACAGACAGCGCTGAAAGCAGCTAATGCTAATCAGATCACATAATTCAGTGGAAAATGAATAGAAATAATGATTTTGTCTAAAGAAATATGAAGTAAACATGTAAATATATCAATATTTCTCCAAGTATGCACACTTTTGGACTTTAAGCCCTAATGGACGCTGTTCAGTGAAGCCATGTGAACAAATAAACCACAGCAGATGTGACTGAATATGAATGGGTGTTGTTATTCTATTCAAAATATCACAAATTACTAGTGGTCGACCGATATGTGTTTTTTTACAGCCGATGCCGATATCTTGGAAAGCAGGGTGGCCGATCGCCGAAATAAAAACGATATAAATTGTATTTATTTTAATTAATATTCAAGAAGTTTGAAATCATTTGGATTAAAAAATAAATGTGTAAAATAAACATACTTATACTTTAGATGACAAAGTATTTTACACAAATGAATACATATTTAATAAAAATATAATTAAAAAGGAAGTATAACCAACAGTATTCAACTCAGTATTCTGGGAAGTTTGTGTGCATTGGGAATCATATTTTTTCAAATAAAGCAAATAAAGGTAACACTCAGTTTACATGCAGCACACAGTGAAAATTACATGAATATGACAGTGGGCATAAAGTTTGTCGATCGCGCGTCTCCAGTCAAGCACAACTCTCCTCCTGTCCGCATTCAATTCACACAGACCGACCGTCATGCAGAGAACACGCGATCATGCAGGATACACATGCACACTTCACACGATCTCACAACAGGATTCGACTAAGTTTGCAAGGTTTGTGAAATTAAATGTTCATTAATAGACATTCAAAGATTTGTTCAAATGATTTAAATGCGTATTTGCTGAATGCTGACGGCAAACGAGAACGTATTATAATGTTTGCCTTTCTATTACTAATTATATAATACTTTGTATACATTTTAATTATTTTGTCTAACCCTTCTATCAGATTATTAGACAGACTTCTATCCGTATTAGACAGAACTGTTAACGACGACAGCGAACAAGAGGGATAATGTGAGCACCGTTTGTTCAGACGCTGCCGTTCTTCTCAGCGCCGTCAAAATAAAAGTCTGTCTTGCCGTCAAAATAAAAGTCCTGCCTCGAACGCATCGGCCAAACAGAAAAACTTATCGGCCGATGCCGATATATGAAAAATGTCAAATTTATCGTCAACTTTTTAAATAAAATTTAATGTCAACTTATCGCCAAGGCCGATATATCGGTCGACCCCTACAAATTACCAAATTAGACTGAACAAAATTATAAACGCAACACTTTTGTTTTTGCCCCCATTTTTCATGAGCTGAACTCAAAGATCTAAGACTTTTTCTATGTACACAAAAGGCCTATTTCTCTCAAATATTGTTCACAAATCTGTCTAAATCTGTGTTAGTGAGCACTTCTCCTTTGCCGAGATAATCCATCCACCTCACAGGTGTGGCATATCAAGAAGCTGATTAGACAGCATGATTATTGCACAGGTCTGCCTTAGGCTGGCCACAATAAAAGACCACTCTAAAATGTGCAGTTTTATCACACAGCACAATGCCACAGATGTCGCAAGTTTTGAAGGAGCGTGCAATTGGCATGCTGACTGCAAGAATGTCCACCAGAGCTGTTGCCCGTAAATTGAATGTTCATTTCTCTACCATAAGCCATCTCCAAAGGCGTTTCAGAGAATTTGGCAGTACATCCAACCGGCCTCACAACCGCAGACCACGTGTAACCACACCAGCCCAGGACCTCCACAACCAGCATCTTCACCTCCAAGATCGTCTGAGACCAGCAACCCGGACAGCTGCTGCAACAATCGGTTTGCATAACCAAAGAATTTCTGCACAAACTGTCAGAAACCGTCTCAGGGAAGCTCATCTGCATGCTCGTCGTCCTCATCGGGGTCTCGACCTTAAAACTGCACATTTTAGAGTGGTCTTTTATTGTGGCCAGCCTAAGGCACGCCTGTGCAATAATCATGCCGTCTAATCAGCATCTTGATATGCCACACCTGTGAGATGGATGGATTGTCTCGGCAAAGGAGAAGTGCTCACTAACACAGATTTAGACAGATTTGTGAACAATATTTGAGAGAAATAGGCCTTTTGTGTACATAGAAAAAAAGTCTTAGATCTTTGAGTTCAGCTCATGAAAAATGGGGGCCAAAAACAAAAGTGTTGCGTTTATAATTTTGTTTTTGTATTATTTAGCATTCCTGACATAAATGAAGAAACTACTGTCACTGCAGCCTTGTTTTATCATAAACAGTTGTCAAATCTCGAAGCTGCAGTCTTAAATCCATCTTAAATCTATAATAATACACAGTTTGTCCAGATCAAGTAGGAGTGTGATGCTTTAACATGCTGTGAATATTGTACAACAATAATCTGGGGTCGCAGGTAATCTTTGCAGGTTAAGTTAACAGGGATCCCCTCTCAATTCACGACGCTATCTACATTGCTTAAGCACTTGTACCAGTATGCCAGTTTTATAAAAATTCATACCATGTGCGTAATTCAAACCGGTTTACCGCCCAGCACTACTTACAACCATCTTCAACACATTACAATATAAACACCATAAAGTAAAGTGTCATAATACACCAACTGAATTTTTTTCTGAAGTTTTGATTTTGTAAAATTACATTCTCTTAACCAAGTTTATTGTTAATTGACTACTATAAGTATGCCATTAATGGATTTATCTCCCCCTAAAAGTGTAAACATTGCGCCTCTCAGGCAACATAATTTAGAATGGTCTGCTCAGATCCATGTCTCGTTTCAGGTCAACCTATAGTGAGAGTTTAGGCCATGGCTACTGTAGCAGGCTGAGCCAGTGGGCATTTAGGTGGTGTGGGACCATGGCTGACGTATTACATCAGAAAAGAAATTGAGATTTGGTTACAGTGAAAGTGATGTTTGCTAAGGTTGTTCAAAAACATGCTTTATCTTTGTAATTCCACAATGTGACACTAGAAGCGCAGAAATTGCATACTTCACCTTAAAAGGGCAACTATTATGCAAAATTCCCTTTTTACATGGTATTTGAATATAATTGTGTCTGCAGTTTGTTTACACAACCACCCTAAAATGATAAAACTCTTAAACTTTTTAAAGACCCACTGGAAACCTGTCTGTACAACCTTGACTCTACACACAAAAGTAGCTGAATCACTGTGCTGAATGTGGTTTTACCTCAGTAGCTGCTTTTAGCTTCATGCTGATGTACAAGTTTGAGTCCTCTCTGTCTCCCACCTACAACAAACAAACCATCGACATTCAAGCAATGTTTAAAACCTCCACATATTTGCATTTTTAAAAATGATTTTAGTCATTTTTTCCTTTCCTTTTGTCCAGTTTAAGCTTTTGCTTAAGTAATGTGTTTCCCAAGTACCATTACTACTAATAATGATAACAGCAGTTTTCCGCATTATGACTTTAGGGTGCATTCATATGCAACTTCTGACCATGCTTCCCACACATAGACTTTACCTGGGCGGGCCTAAGGGTAGAATAATTAACTTAGATCTGAGTAAAGAAATCTATACATATTTTTTTCTGAAGTGTAACGGTACGATTAACCGTGAGCCGGTTGAAAATCGATTTAACTGTGACGATTCAAATCGGTTGAGATGCTAAAAAAAAAAAAGCGATTCAGTTAGGGGTAGGAGTTTATATTAATGTATGTCTGAGGG